GAAGAAGAAGAAGAAGAAGAAGAAGAAGAAGAAGAAGAAGAAGAAGAAGAAGAAGAAGAAGAAGAAGAAGAAGAAGAAGAAGAAGAAGAAGAAGAAGAAGAAGAAGAAGAAGAAGAAGAAGAAGTCAAGGCTCCATATTAGGCCCCTTGTTTTTTGTTATTTATATAGATGATATTGATAAATGTTTTAAACACACGCACTTCCAATTATATGCTGACGACCTTAAAGTCTATAGTGCTATTACTTCCGATATTGACTGTGTGAAAATGCAAGAAGACCTAAATCGTTTAACAGCGTATTGTAAAAACAACAAACTACATTTAAATTTAAACAAATGTAAATTTATATCTTATACAAAAAAAAGTAAAAACATTGGTTTCACTTATTCGTTATCTAATACGCTCTTAGAAAAAGTGTCAGTAATAAGAGATCTCGGTATTTATATGGACTGTAAGCTCAATTACCATGCCCATGTAGATTATATAATCGGAAAGGCGTTTAAGTTATATGGTCTTGTAATGCGCACCTCTATCCCTTTCAAGCGACCTTTGTCCTACCTTCTTCTCTATAAGTCCCTTATACGCTCTCAATTAGAGTATGCTACACCTATATGGAACCCTTTTTATTTAAACAGTAAAAATCAAATTGAAGCAGTACAGCGCAAGTTTCTACGGTCTATGCATTATCGTTGTTTTCGTTCGAAGTCCTCATATAGTTCATTGTTGCTAAAATATGATTTGCCTACGCTTGACATGAGACGTAATGTCTTGGATGTTATGTTGCTGCACAACATCCTAAACCATAAATTTAATTGCATAGAATTAATTAGACAAATAAAATTGCATGTGCCTGGCAGAACATGTTATTTTCGAAGCACTCGTAATAGTGTTCTGTTTGCGCTAAAACGATGTAAGACGCATGCTGGTGAGCGCGCCCCCTTATGGAGGGTGATGAGACTATACAATGATCTGCTTATTGATATAGATTTGTTTTCCACGTCATCTGCATCATTCAGGAGAAGTGTCGCGCGTGCTTTGTCTTTGTGAACTAATTTGTTTAGTTTAATTGTACGAATTTAATTATTACTGTTTTCTTTCCTTTCTTTTTTTCTATTATAATTGTGAACAACGGTGTTGGGTACATAATTACTAAGTCTTTGTTATGTATTACATTGATGTATATGCATTATGTAGTCGTTAGTTGTTCCGCATAAAAAAACAAAAAAAAAAGAAGAAGCGCGTGTCATGACAAGTTTTTCAAACTAATTTGATTTATGATTCTATCGTAAACATTTCACAAAAATGGGCAGGCAATAAAAGTTCCTAATTGTACCTGTAAAAACTAATCATTTTTTACATGGTTTGTGAGTTCCATCATTGTAGAGAATTGCAAAGAAGTTTTGTAAGAAAATGGGGAGAGATCCATATAATCAAAGAAAACCAGTTTTTTTTTTAAATAAGGTATGTAATTAGGTGAAAAGCAATTATTAAATTGATTATGTTGTACACTTGAATCAATTAATTACAATTTCATTCTGTTGCAGATGAATAAATGCACCTCTTCAAGGTCTACAGAATTATTAAATGAAGGAATCTGCTTCAGAATTACTGACTGCATGTCGCTGCAACATCTGTGCTACAAAGTTTGATTGTTTGAAATATTGTAATTCTAAACTAAATTTTGTTTTTATGGAGTAATAATAAACTAATTCCAACAGAGACAAGGGGTGGACTCTTTCGCCTACATAAGAACCCGTCTTAATGAACGCGGCGCGATACAACATCGGCAGTGCTGACGACGATATCGTGGACATAGTCAGTACGTTTTGTGCCCCCGGAAACTTCAACAACAACACCACCGACGCTTTGGTATCAACATCGTCGACGACGCCGGCGCAACCTGCGCCCCCCGCCCCCTCAAGACGCGCCCTAAGAGCGCAGGCGCGCAGTGAGCGACGGGCCGCGTCCGCGAAATAATACCAGTACCACTCATCCTGATGAACGGCCCCCGATGGGCTCGAAACTAGTCCGTGCCGCCACCGGACGTATATACGTGAGTGTTTAGCCGTGTTTGTATATCAGTTTACTATAGATTTAGTGTTTTATATTAGTTTGATGTTAATAATATGACAATTTTTAGAAATATGTATTAGACTTTAATATAAAATATACACTAGCATAATAAGATTGTCTCGAAATTGGGAAAGGTAGTGTATAGAAAATAAAAACAATATTAAAAAGCTATAAACTTTTAGGAAACACATTAATTACAAGTAATTCCTCTAAGGCTATAAATTATTTTTGCAACACAAATACGCTACAAGAAATTGCACTTAGTAAAATTATGTCGGATTTTAAAAATTGTAGATGGCAACAATAAATTAAATTAATGACAGAAGAGACAAGCAAACATTCGTAGAATTCGTAGAAATCGTAATAAAATTGTGATGGAAAGTAAGAGTTATTTGTAAATTGCATTTTTGTGTACCCCAAAATATAGTGATTATAATCGCCTAATTGGTAAGTTATTGAAAGCAGAAACAAGTTATTGTAAGCTATGACGTAGTGATGTAAATATGTCATCGTTTATCCCTGGGCTTAGTAAATCGTTTATTTAATTGCCTGCCTTCTTAATTCGACAATTTTTATCAAGTGACCGCTCAATTACACTATACGAACCCTAACAAGAAATCTAGAAAGTTAAAGTAAATAGTAAATCCATGTATTTGGTATCAATCTCAATGAGTCATTTTCCTCATATACTTGTCTTTTTTTACTTACCAAGCACTATTAGTATATTGAAAATGAGGATATATTAAAAGTTAGTTATTAAAAGTGGATAACGAAGTAAATTCTTATCAAAAAAAATTACAAAAATTGATTTCTAGCTGAACTATAAAATCAAAAACAATTGGTAAATGAATAATTTATTGCCAGATTTTATAGGGAAAAGTATGAAAATGAAACATAAAATTTGTATAACCATTTAGAACATGCTGTTACCCTAGAGACAACTGTTCATTGATTAACATCATTGATTAAATAACAAATATTTAAGCCTCTAAGAAATGAAAATCCTTTAATACAATTAAATAACTTACAACACTCTAATATATATTGTGGTTTAATAAAGTCCTGACTAAAAATGGTATACAAGAAGCCATATTTAGAAAACACATTGGATAATAACTATAATTATAACATACTTAAAGTCTTTGATCACTGCCCCTAGCACCATTAGTTGTTGAAGTTGCAGAAACACTTACAAAACTTTCTGTCTCTGTAATTCTCATTGAAAAACAGCGATGGAGATATTTTGTGTATAGGTATTTGCGCAATGGATACTGGCAGCACTATTGACACTCAGGCTGTATTTTATATGAATTATCTATTCATTTTCAGATTAACAACTAATACTGAAGAATGGCATCATCCAATACCTTACAAAAAGCAATTGACCTGGTAACAAAGGCAACTGAAGAAGATAAGAATAAAAATTATGAGGAAGCACTAAGACTCTATGAACATGGGGTGGAATACTTTCTCCATGCTGTAAAGTATGAAGCGCAAGGTGAAAAAGCTAAAGAGAGCATTCGAGCAAAATGTTTACAATATCTGGACAGAGCGGAGAAATTGAAAGAATACCTGAAAAAGGATCGGAAGAAGAAGCCAGTCAAAGATGGAGAGTCTAAGAGTGAGGATAAGAAGAGTGACAGTGATAGTGACTCTGATGATCCAGAAAAAAAGAAACTGCAAGGGAAACTTGAGGGTGCCATAGTTGTGGAAAAGCCGCATGTAAAATGGAGCGATGTGGCTGGTTTAGAAGGAGCAAAGGAAGCATTGAAAGAAGCTGTTATACTACCCATTAAATTTCCTCACCTATTCACAGGAAAAAGGATACCATGGAAAGGTATTTTACTATTTGGTCCACCTGGTACTGGTAAATCATATTTAGCCAAAGCTGTGGCAACAGAAGCAAATAACTCTACATTCTTCTCTGTTTCATCATCTGACCTTGTTTCCAAATGGCTTGGTGAATCAGAGAAATTAGTGAAGAATTTATTTGAACTTGCTCGACAACATAAACCAAGCATTATTTTCATAGATGAAATTGATTCTCTTTGTTCTTCACGTTCTGATAATGAGTCTGAGTCAGCAAGGAGGATCAAGACAGAGTTTCTGGTTCAAATGCAAGGTGTTGGCAATGACATGGATGGTATATTGGTACTTGGAGCTACGAATATACCTTGGGTACTCGATGCTGCTATTAGAAGGCGTTTTGAGAAGCGTATATACATCGCTCTACCCGAAGAACATGCACGTCTGGATATGTTTAAGTTACATCTCGGCAACACAAGACATCAGTTGACTGAGCAAGATATGAAGGTTTTAGCTACAAAGACAGATGGTTATTCCGGAGCTGATATAAGTATTGTTGTTCGTGATGCTCTGATGCAACCAGTACGTAAGGTCCAATCGGCCACTCACTTTAAGAAAATTTCTGGACCAAGCCCAACTGATCCAAAATTAATTGTTCACGATTTGCTGACTCCATGTTCTCCTGGTGATCCTGGGGCAATGGAAATGACATGGATGGATGTACCGAGTGACAAGTTGGGTGAACCACCGGTGACAATGTCAGATATGTTGAGATCTCTCGCTACATCTAAACCAACTGTCAACGATGATGATATGATCAAACTTAAAAAGTTTATGGAAGACTTTGGTCAAGAGGGCTAAATGGATTATGACATTACATTCTTTTTGTGATTAAATACACGATTTCATGATCTTAGATAGACCATGGGTCTCCAAGCCTGTCAGTGATACTATAAAAGTACAGGCTAAAACAATGAAACCTGAATTTGAACTAGATCTTTTTATTTTCTTTATAATTTCAAATATAATTATGTATCCTAATGTTAAAGTATTGAAATTGAATTATTACAATTAAATAACACATCTCAAATAAATATATTTTCTACTATGTCTTTGTTTCTTTGTGTGTTGCCAGAATATGTTAGGTAAATGAATTAACCAAAAAGTCTGTAGTCAATATTTGGTGAGTTTGGAGACCCAATTTATTGAACACTATAACAATGATAAATTTTATTATTCCGGCAATAATTATGAACAATTAATATTGTAAATATTTGAATAATTATTGATCTAAAATTGATCCAGATTTGCTTAACAAAACAGTTTCAAAAAAAAGTTTGGCACATTTTAAAACATTTACCACATTGTTAAGGATAATAGTTCCTTATTGTCTCAGATCTTGCTATAAAGATTTAGAGTTAGTGAAAAGTTTCATGACAATGTATACAATTTCAAGAATAAAACTTACCATCAATCAATATCTTTAAGATTTGTAATGTTAACTTATTTTCTTCACTGGCTTTGCATGTTATTCCATTCACGCCTTTAATGCATGTTTAATTGTATAAATAATTAAAGAAAATGTTTATTTAGGTAAAATTAAAATTCATACGAAAAATATATAAAAAAAATATTTACGAAATAAATCCTATAGTATTTTTGCTTTAGAAGAGTAAAAATTGTTGATTAAAATTGTTAATTATATTTAAAAAAATTATATCTACCTACATTCGTCTAAGTGTTAACAGAGTTTAAAAGTTTTGAACAAATAACCGTGGGCTTCTGAGACCAAAATCTTTAAAAATATACTTATCTCTATTTCGTTAAAGATAATGTAAATGAAGGTATGACGACATGTTTATATAAAGATTTTAGTCTCAGAAACCTACAATAATTGTTTCACCCTTGTTTTACCACACGTAGACGGTTAAACTGTTGAGTAGTCTATATGAAGACGGTCGTTTGTGTGCGTAAACGTAAGAGCCAATAGGATTGTTGAAATCTAACAACAATGCAGTTACGCACACATGCGTAAGCATAAACTATTATCACAATCACAATTATGCCTTGGATGCATTCATTAAAAAATATACGCATGTTTATGAAAAAATTGTATCTTATAGTTTTAGTATTACATTATTTGTCTTTATGTCTATTAAAGAATTACTTGTCATTGATAATTTCTGTTGTTAGTTTATGTTTTTTTTAAATAACCAAAATGGAAGTAATATTTCAAATTAAAAGTTGTTAATATATAGTACTTTATAAATTGATACAGGGTTATTCGGCCTCTGTCACCATTATAGATTCAAATTCCATTCAATATAAGTGTGTGAATGTATTTAATGATGCATTACTCTATGTTTTTAAATGCTTAAAAGTTATTATTTAAGTTTTCTCAAAAGCCCTGTTGTTGACTAAAAATGGACCATCGACTTATCTTCAACAGGTTGTCCATTAATCACGTGATGTTGTTTTAGCAACTCTTTGAACCACATCGAATGACATATGACGTAGATTACCTCTCATTGAAATGTTCAATATTTATGTATTTATTAAATTTACGTCATCAATCAGATAATAAAAACACATGATATCTTATTTTAGACCACACCGTTCCTCTTCGTGATGTTTCGTGATTTTTCTGGAACATTTCGAACTTCACGTGATTAGTGGAAGAACCCTTGGCGCAGATCTAAATGCACATTGGTGTATCTATTACGTACTTTATCAATTCATGCAATTTTATTTTTATATGTTAATAAGCAAATAAAGATTTTTGAGTAATGCGATTGTTTGTTTTAAACGGTATTCTAAGAAAAAAAAGTCTGTTATGACAAGATTACTTTTAGGAACAATATTGTTAAGACAGAACATTTTTTTGTTCTTAAAAATAAATACATACCTAAATATTAGATATAACGATCATGTAACTTTAGAAAAAAGATTTCTTCAATGGCGGGAAATCAAACAATAGACATGATTTTCTCATATTACAAAGCGATGAAGGTCACTTCTAGTTGTCATATTCCGAAGATATGAATTCCAAAACCTTTTTAACAAAAAAATTAGTACCTATAAAAATCAATTGCAAACTCGAGAACGGTTGAACGGATTTATCTTATCTTGGTCCTAAAATGTTTTTGGAGGTTTGGGAAGGTTTAAAAGGCGAGAAAATTTCGAATAATTGCCGGGAACTAATTAAGTTTTTTATTCATTTCACGCGGACAGAGTCGCGGGCGACAGCTGGTACGAAATAAAAATGCGATAACCTGTAATAACGCACAAGAGTACGTTATATATTCTTAATTCTTTATTCATCGAAGTCCCTTTTACAATAAACGAATTTTAGGGGTCAATGCCTTACTTGGGACTCACCAAAAAGTAAAATCCCAATATTATTACGTTTATTTCTGTATTGAATTATTGACGGTGAATGATTTCATTATGTTAATGTAGGTAGGTACTAAGTTCAATGTAATTAGAGTCGCGGTGAATACCACGCAACTTTATGAATAAGGCTCTTCGTACACTAGCCAACGTAAATAATTTGAAATCCGGCGATTTTAGTCGCTAAATACACAGCACCGATTTTTCTATCTGTCATCACTAAAGACAGAAAGACAAGCTGCTGTAATTTTCAAGATGGTGGAGCAAATCTATACAGTTGACATGGAGACGCTTAGCTTGTATTGAACAAATAGACGATTCGCGTCGACGATTCAACGTTGTGTGTTCGGAGCGCGCGGAACGCGATTCTCGCGGTGCATACAATATTAGCTTCAACGATGCGTTGCCTTGTATACGAAGGGCTTTAGTTTCGACGATTTACGTTGCTTTGTGTCCGAAGGGCCTAAGACATGTTGTGAATATTGAAGTGGAAAACGATTAAGTAGAACTTATTACAACATTTTTCATTAGTGCATTGTTTCAAGTGGATAACAGTCGTTCATATAAAGTGGAGACATTTGAACAATGATTATGTGCTTAAAATGGAATATGAGTGGAGTGTAATTAGAGCTCAAGTGCCTACGTATGCGATTCTGTAAAGATTTGGAGGTAAGTATTTCCGAATAAATTTAAAACAAAACATCCATAGTAGGTCATTTCCTATTTCATGCCACATGCCACCAAGTACTGGAGATGCCCATGTCTAAAGAGCAAGAAGTCTAATTTGTTGTGTAAATGCAACAGATTATTTCGATGACATCGGTGCATTATCATCCAGGGCTGTTAAAAAAAATAAAAAGGCGTTTTTTTTTTGCGAGTACAATTTAATGGTTTCGTTTTTAACTTAAACAGCAAAGGTATTTATTGAATTTCGATTTTTACATTTGTTTGTCATTCGTAACTCGAAATTCGACGAAATTCATAAGTTATTAAAAATTAAAATATTATATTATGTTACCAAACCTTTTTTTATTCTCAAAAGGACAATTAAAAGTTTAAGTTTAATATTTTCAATTTGTATCTTTTATAAATATTTAAAAATCTGCACAGGTTAAATTTAGTTTTGATGGCCAACCCTACATAGAAACGATTATTTGACCTTGTTTTCGACGAAGGTTAACAACTTTACAACTTGTAGCATTCTATATAAGCTGCTTATTTATATTTTATATGTTTTTAGAGATCAAGAGCATTGCTGTGCGGTATACAATGATTGTGTAACTTTGTATAAAATGGATAAAGTGGATATAATAGTTATTGGTGCTACAGGCTTCACAGGAAAACATGTTGTTCAACTGTTAGCCGCGTTTAAGAAACATGACACATATAAAACAATAACATGGGGGATATCTGGCAGATCGAAGGAGAAAGTGAATAACTTGCTGTCAGAGATTGAAGAATATGGTGCGTATATCCGAACGCAAAATGTTTGCTGATTACTCCGCATCCAACTGTGCGCCTTTTTCTTGTTTTTTTTTGTTAGTTTGTAATAGTTAGTAGTAATTCATTAAAAACTAACTCAAAATAATTACGTGTGCTATAACAGCATTTTTTATTTACTATTTTTCTCTAAAGCGTCTTTTTTATATACCGATGGGTAAAACCTGCGTATGCAGGCCCCAATTTCAATTTCATGAATACACAGAAACGAAATTATTTCAACAACAATTTTAGTAACCGTTTTTTTAAGCTAACTGACCATCGGCATGTGACGTCACGAGGCGATGGACAAAAATTCTGAGCATGAGTAATTGAAGAATAATGAAGAAAAGAGAATAATGAAGAACATGTGTTTTTTTTTTATTTCGGCCGGACGGAATCGCGGTTGACGGAGAATATTTATAGAAATTATGTTGACAAATTTGAATTTTACTCTATTGAATTATTACATAAAACATTTTTTTACAAATTTAATTTAAGGTATTGTTTAAAGTGCATAAATACAAGGTTTTTACAAATGTAATTTTTTAAATCTTGTTAATAAGTATTGAATATATTTAATCGTTAAATGTTACTTAAGTACAAGTGACAATTTAATTGGAACAGTAGTCTAACATAATGTCTTATCGTGACCTCTTGGAATCTTAAAGGTTTAGATAATTTAAGACAGAGGCCAGATGTCCATCTGTCAACGCTGATGTCATGATGTCAACGCTGGCCAAGATATTATGTGTAGTTTGTATCGCCATATTTATAGCTTCGTTACTATTTATAGTTTAATTAACAATTATCTTGTTTGATTTAAGTATCTGTCGCCTACGACTCCGTTTGCGTGGAATTAAAAAAAAAATTGTATACTATGTGTTCTTGACTCTGTTCTACATCTATAATATACCAGATTACAGAGAAACCTATGTAGTTGTTCTGGAGATACCATTTAACAAACATCCAGCTACTCACCCATTTATCCATCTATACATCCAAACATTCGCATTTATAATATTAGTAAGATTAGTTAACTATTGCTATACTACATACATTTTGATTTCTTTATTTTAGATGTTGACGTTACGAAAATTCTAACAATAATAAGTGACGTCAAAGATGATAGCATTTGTAATGTAACGAAGAGGGCTAGAATTGTTATAAATTGTACGGGACCCAATACTTTACTAAGCGAATACATAGTGAAAGCGTGTGTACACACTGGAACACATTACGTTGATATATCCGCGGAATTGTACGTAAGTACATTGTTATTTTTACCCTACTAACCCTGGATTTCTGAGACCGAAATCCCCGTTTAAAACATATTGTTTTCTCTGTTTAGTATAATGATAGACTTTACGATATGTTTGTTCAGAGATTTTGATTTCGGAAACAATAAACCAATGTCAAAATGATAAAACAATGTCAAGAGTCCAAAATAAAATAACTTAATAAACATATTATTTTTATATTCCACCGAAATAATAAAATCCTGTGGAAATATTTTTTTTAAAATAGTTTTTTTAATTTTTTTTTATGGTCGTGTTACTTTTAAATAACCGTACACAGATAAAGTTTATGTTTTAAATCACGTACCGAAATTGATCACCACGCACATACAGTATGTATAACTTTTTAAAACAATTAAATTAGGTTTTAATAAAGTTTTTGTTGGTTACATCTCCAATGTAATCGTTACTAATGTATGTAAGCGATTCTTTTGTAACCATAACGTTGTAATGTTTCTAAACGAGCTAACACATTAGCTGGCGTGTTTTCGACAAAGAATATTCTTAATCTAAGGTTTATTTTATTTCTTTTTTTTTTCAAATGTAATACTGAGTTGCTATACATTTGATGTGATAATTCCGAGGTCTTCAAAACGTTGTTTGTTGTTATTTAATTATTAGATAGTCGCGAATCGCGACAGAATAAAAAAAATAATGAGTAGCCTACGTGTTCCTGCAGATTATGTTCTATATCTGTGCCAAATTCCACGAAGATCCATTGTGTCGCCCCCGGGTTACCTTCAAACAAATCCATCCATCCATCTAATCATTCGCCATTATAATAATAGTAACATTTTAAGAATATTTTCAACTTTATTAACAAAATAAAAATATTCTACATTAAAATAGACGATATTTAAAAAAACATAACTTGATAATTAGTAAATGTATTTTTTAATTTTCTTATTCTAGGTGTTTAAAAATGAATACAGAGAACAATAGCGAAAGGTTATCCCGGGAGATGTCCGATTCATGTCTATTGCGGGATTTTTCTTCCCCATTGGGCTAGGGAGTCATATTTCTGGCTTGTTATTTGTTTCGTTTCCTCCCAGGTGTAACATTTTTCAATTGTTGATCGTATCGTCTACTTGATTATTCTGCTGTTTGTTTACGATTACGGAAATGTTTTATTGCCGACGGAATTTTTTGTTTGCGGTTTCGTATTATTTTATTTATGCTGTACGGAATATGTATTGTATCATCTCTACATTTATATTGTTTTAATTTTTTATTACGAAACATTTTTAAATTAAGAGCGTCTTTTTTCAACAAGCGCCGTGGGTTTCTAACCTCCAAATCTCTGCATAAACATATCGTCATCCCTGTCCGTTATCTTTGATTAAAACACATGTTTTAAACGGGGATTTTGTCCTCATAAACTCACAAAAAATACAAAACTCAATGAACTAAATTCATTTTATAGCATTCTATACTTTCATTATATTGTTAAGTTATATTACATTTTATACTATAATTTGCAAAGTAGCCTTTGACCATGAACCCTCCTCACGTTGTCGTCAAGTGGTGTTATGATCGAAAGATGTTACGCGCTAGTTAAGTTGTTTACTTAACCCACACTTGAAAGTACTGACTTCATGTTTGGTTGATTTTATTTGTAGTTTAATTAATGGTTTTAAAACATTTCTAGCACATGCTGAATGTATACAGAGCGTACCACAAACGGGCAGAAGAGGCTGGCGTGCTAATAGTACCGAGTTGTGGTTTTGCATCCATACCAACTTCTACAGGACTTATAATATTGGATAGACATTTTAAAGGTAAATTTATTTAGACTTTGACCCTCTGAGTACTACATCAACTTGTATATAAAATATATAACAAAAACATAGCACCAGACTATCAAGATTTGTTATATAAATTGTTATTTTCAGCCAGTTTGTACAAAAAGATAATTAAAATACTTACTATTTTTAATGAATATTGAATTATTAAAAGTGTGTTGTTTCATTTGTTTAATAACTTTACGTTCCTTAAAGTCGGATTTTTATGTTTGTCATTTGTTTACAAGGTTTTTAAGTACTTCTGTCTCATTCTCTCTTTGTATATATTGCTGAGACCTACAATAAGGTCCTCCTTCAACGCCCATTTTATAATTCTTAAGTGCGGGAGTAAGACGTATTAATACTTAATTTCAGGGTCATTGCATACCGCCGAATGTTACGTCGAATTACATATACCTAGAGAATGTTACTACGGTGGTAGGAATAAAACATTAGTACACTACGGTACTTGGGAGGCTTTTGTATTTGAAATGACAAATATGAAGAAGTTTAAAGATTTAAAGAAAGAGACATTTCCTGAAGCCATAAATGAATCTGTACCGACGGAAATAAAGAAGTAAGTGTGTTCTAGAATTTACTAATCCTCTTTAATACTGTTAGGAAGAAAATCCGACACTGTGCCGGTGTACTGGCGCAACATTAGCCCAAGTGAAATGTCGACGTTTATATCCCCTCACTAATAATTCTGACACTGGACTTTGTAATAAAAGCGCGCCATTCACTCCAAAGGATTCTAACTAATAATGTCTAAAAATACTTAAGTCTTTCTTTTGGTTAAAAATAGTTTTATGCACATCTACATATTAACTTTAACTGGAGCTAATTTCACGTTTATTTGTTCGCGCAATATTCTTTAATATATTAATGCTTTATTAAGAAAATAGAAGTAATAAGAGTGAGCAGTATTTTTAAAACCAGCAGAAGTTTTTAAATTTTTCTTCCACTTTAACATTTTAAAAGGCACTCTACAATAAATTCATGTAGAGATTTGTATTATAAGAACTTCTAACACTTTTCTCAATTGATGTCCTTAAAGTTTGGAACTAAAGCAATTACAAAAGCAATTGATGTTGGGCTTTCAAATTCGCCAATGTTGCAAGTTCAAACCCATCATTGGCTGCGTCTGACATGTGGTATACATGTCAGTTTTGAATTTGGAATTTTGCTGCCTTTGTACCCGCGTCTTATACCGGGACCGTCAACTTTATTTTTGGGCGAATATTCATTATAAACATATTAAATTATTAATGTCATAATATACATTTATCTTACTAATATTAAAAATGCGAAAGTTTGGATGAATGTTTGTAAGAAGATATCCCTAGAACGGGTGCACGTATCTGGATGAAATTAGGTTTAGGTGTACAGCATTTTTTAGAAGAACACATAGGCTATTTGCTATGCTTTCTTTTGCGAGGTGGACGATGTCACTGGCGAAGGCTAAACAATTTTGACACGTTTACTTTTGGATACTGAAACTGTTTTTTATCGAAACAATAAACATATTGTTTACTTTTTTTTAATATTAGTTGTCGAACTCGACTCAGTATTCTTCCAGACTATGTTCTACATCTATGCGAATTTCAGCGAGATCCGTTGAGTCGTTCCGAAGATACCTTCAAACAAACATCCTTATATCCATCTAAACATTCGCATTTATAATATTAGTAAGATAAATTAGTGAAAGGGTTCAGTATATATGCTGTTTATGAGTGTTTAACATTTTGTGACGTATTGTTGGTGTTCTATAACTTTGCATATTGGATTAAAGGCAATAAAACTTGTATAGGTATATTAAAGTAGAGACAAAAAGTTTTGTTTGCGAGATAAAATTCAGGAATTTTTTGAAATTCTCGATGAGCTCGATGTGGTTAACGGATTATTTTTAAGCTCCTTCGAAAATGAAATTTCAGTATTATATCGTAGTTTTTGCGATCACATATTGTATGGTATAAATATCATTAGAATGTCATCCAATTAAATACGTTGTAGATATTTAAAATATTGTATAAAAAATCAAACAAAATGAGTAATAAAGCATTACTTAGAACAGTTGGACAGTGAACAGTTGAAAAAGAAAACCTTGGTCAATCATCAAATTAATTCCTTTGCCAAATCATCGAAACTTTATCTTTCTTACACGTAATAACTTGCATGTTTGTATTTTTTTCATCATGAAAATAAACACATCTAAATTAAATCTCTTTATTCGTTGAGTTTTCATTGCTTTACCAATTACAGTACCTGGATTAACGGTTTTTTTATACATTGTGTTTTTTGGAAATTATATTTAAGTACGAATTACTAATAAAATGATGAAATATGAATAATATTTTTCGATCTTACCGATAGAAAAAGTTAAGTTTATGTTTCAGTTGATTATCGATAAAACACGAATAAAATGTCATTTTCTAAAAAAATATTCTTATATACATATATATATATATATATATGTATATTTGGAATCTCGGAATCGGCTAAAACGATTTTCATAAAATTTAGTATATAGGGGGTTTCGGGGGCGATAAATCGATCTAGCTAGGAATCATACATATATATATAGAATATAAGAATTGCTCATTTAAAGATATATGATATGTACATCAGTGCAAAATAAATTATTGTATTTTAAAAGTCATCTCGTTGTGTTTATTCACAATTTTACTTGACATATGTCGTGACCAATAAAACATCAAGCATCAAGGAAAATATTCAACGGTTAAAACAAAGGTCGTGTCCATGTATATGTCCTTTTTGTATAACAAAATTCACTTTTGTCTGAACGTTTACGCTTTGTTTCCTGTGATTATTGTGTGAGTATTTTATATAAAGTGTTTAACAGAACAAAAATATTTCTAGATAGACGGATGGATGGATGTTTTGTTCTAAAATATCTCAACGGATTTCGATGAAATTTGGCACAGATGTAGAACATAGTCTGGAAGAACACATCAGCTACTAATTAATTTTTTTTAACCCGAGCGGACGGAGTCACGGGCGACATCTAGTTTTCAAATAAGCAGCTGTAACCAAAACCAATTCGACTTTTTCATAGATTGTTTACATTAGAAAGCTGTATTTTAAACAATTATTAATTTGCTTAATATTGATAGTTTGATTTAGTTATATTTTATTATACAGATACCGTAGAAAAAGATTTAAAATAAATATACGGGTTCTGTTATATCTTATTTATCCTTAGATCTTAAATTATTGGAATGTCGATGTCAGAATTGAGTGAAACACACGCTTGAGATCATAATTTCCGTTTCGGGATTGTGTATTGAGAGCAAAGACGTGACATGCCTTCGTCTCATATTCGTTGTGATGTTTCGCACTGGTTGGTTTGCATTCAATTCATATTTAATATTACAAAACTTTATTTAACATCACTCAAGATTATTAATGTACAATCACATGGTCTCGTCTGTACTAATCATTATACAAACACCTCGAAATCTATTATAACTAAAAACAATTCATATAATTTAGTTTTGTACAGTCAGCTGCATAAATATGTATACATTTAAAAAGTACCTGAAATTTGTATAGGCCTTAAGTTTCAAAAATATGTATCACGTAGCCGTATGCTTCCGACTATAAATACATGTTAAAGAATACATGCACGCGAATTTTTAATAATTTAAAGTTTTAAATTTCATTAAGTTTTTTAAATGTACGTATACTTCTGCAGCTGACTGTACCGCTCCATGAAATAAGTTGGCGATGGTAATGCATTATGTAAAATTCTGCGATGTGGAAAACAAATAGAACTGACAAACGGCCTCGAAAATAATAATTGCAGAGTTTTTGTCAATCACAAGTAATTTTTCATTGATTATTACTTAATAAAAACTATAATTTTAAGACATACAACTTGTCTTAAATAATGTTGGCATTATATTATAGTTTTTTATACTTTTTTAGTTTTAATATAATATAATAGTAGTAAAGAAAAAAATTTTTTTTCAATACTTTGTTACAGATCATTTTTCCATAAACACGAAAGAAAATGGTGGTTCCCTTATCCAGGACCGGACTATGAAGTCGACTCAATGGCTCAGATATATTTTCAAGAAAAAAAAGGAAAGAAACCGATACATTTTAGGGCTTACACTACGATGCCATTACTCATTCATTTTTTAATTATCCCTTTAGTTTTCATCGCATATTTTCTATGTAAATTGAAATGCTTTAGAAACCTAATGTGGAAGCACCCTGGCTTCTTTTCCTTTGGTTTAATGTCACATAAGGGGCCAACGGAAAAACTGAAGAATGATTTGAAATACACGTTCACTCTAATAGGAAAAGGAAGCGATCCGACTACGAAAGAGCATATCGTAAAGGTTAGGATGCGTATACACTAGTTTACAAGAACTATTAAACATCTAACAGTGTCTGCTAATAATCTCTATATTATAAATGTGAAGGTTTGGATGTTTGTTACAAGAAACATAGTCTAGGATGTAGAACATAGTCTAGGAAAACACATAGGCTATTATATAAGTGCGACTACTAGCGTTCACATAAATGAATAAAGACGAAAAATATTTTTTCTGATTTAAATAAATGCCTCTTTTTTCGAAAATCTTCGATTTTCGTGATTTGGTATTCATGTGTTGTGGTGTTATCATGAGTTAATTTCTATTCTAGATAACAGGATCTGACCCGGCGTACAAATCTACGGCGACGACCGCTCTTTTCTCTGCGGTTACAATATTATTGGAAGGATCCAAAACACCAAAGTAAGTTTCACATAATATATGTATAAGAAAAAACTCATTTATAATTGACTACTTTGTCTTAATTTTTTTATTTATTTCAGGGGAGGTGTGCTGATGCCAGAGTGTGCTTTTTACGAAACAGATATAGTTGAGCGTTTAAAAAGCAATGGTATTGATTACGAAATTGTAGATAAACTGCCTAATGGAAAAACATAATATGAAAGTACATACATATTGTATAACAATATCGTTAATTAAGTTGATGAATATATTTAGTTTTATTAAATAATTGTTTATATAATAACAATTTTATTTACTTAGGCATTGACTTTATATGTTATATAAGATGTAACATAAATATTCACTGGAATCCGTTTCATCATATTCGTTAATTAAGTAATTCTTTGGCCGTAATAATTCCTTCAACCTAAAGAATTCCATGTATAAGTTACCACCTTGACATCTTTCTTCTTATTTTGGTGATGTCTTTTTATATTGCGACATTGTTTGCGTTATAAATTATAATATTAAACCATCAAGTTTATTATAGATTTATAGTTTAGTAGGCTAAGGAGGCTTGGATGATATAAGGTTAAAGGTAACCGATATGCAACCGTAAGATTAAACACTTGTATTAAAATTTATCGTTTAAAAATATATTTAACACAAATATTTCAACAGTGAAAATCCACACCAAGAATCTGCTACAAGCTAATAAACTGCATATATAAATACAGATTAAATAATAGAAAAAAATCATGACATTAGTTCGTTTTTCTTCTGTTAGATATTTTGTGCTTTGATTTTCTTAGGATTGGCAGATTATTCGGTAAAGCTTACGAATTATGAGTTATAAGATGTGAATTATGAACATCTTATTCTAAGTAAAATATTAGCAGAATTTTTGTTAATTTACTAATATTTCATGTAACATTTCAACTAAGCTCTAGGCTTGCTAGGATGCAGACGGGGCCGCGGACGAGAGCGAAAGCGTGCCCGTGGTCCCGTCCCGATGCGTTGGAGGAACAGAGGGGTTTAGTGGGTATGCCTCCGCTATAGAGGAGAATCCCACATAACTTCCGCGTCCCCCCCGGGCGCGGAGTATGCAGAAAGCATTCCCCTCTGAAAAAAAAAATGGCTTGCTAGGATATGATTTATTCGAATTCGATTCGAACTCACGACCACATGATCGCTAATCCGTACCCTTAACTATTAGACTATTGGCGCTTCAAGATTTTCTATACCAGTAGTATACAAAATCGTCATATGAATTTCTAGCTTTTTGCTTAATATTTCGTTATCTTACTAATTATGACAGTAATTGAAATAGCTCGATAATTGACAGGTTTAACACGATTGTCAATTAAACACGGACAGTAATTGATGCTAATTGACATCGTATAATTGCACGTGTCCAACGGAAGCCTCCTTATGGGACGTTGTCTTACTAATCTTACTAATATTATAAATGCGAAAGTTTAGATAGATGGACGTTTGTTAGAAGATAATCACCGGAACGGATCAACGGATCTTGATGAAATTGTGCACAGATGTAGAACGTAATCTGGAAGAACACATAAGCTACTTACCAAGTGTTATTATTTCTCACGGATGGAATCTGGTAAATTAATTTTTTTACCTTTAATTCAATGATGTTGGTGTAACTTTGGTTTCCAACTGCGGTGACATTTATCTGCATATTGGATGGCTCGGCTTTTTTTCCAAAGAAATCTTGATGAATGAAAATAGAGTCGAAAGGGGATAAGCAAGGAGTGGATAAGGCAGAGACCTTGCGAAAAGAGTCATTGTCCGACGGGTGACCTTTACAAGTGAAATTCGGGCGCGGTCCCTTGGACACTCTCTAATCCAGGTTCGACTATGTATGTATGTCTTAATATGAGGTTCATTATACGAAATACACAATAATAAAAGAAATATTAGAAAGATTGAAACTTTATTTACATTAAAAATAACTTTAATATCACGCACTTTTTCCTAGATTGACAATCGCTTGCTTAAACAATTTTTATTATTATTCTTACAATTCTAAAAAACTGCAGAAAGTTCTTTTCTTAATAAGTCATCATCATCATCATCGTCATCGTCAGCTCACTATACGTCCCCACTGTGGGGCTCAGAGGCTACCCTAAGTTAAGGGTGATTAGGCCATAGTCAACCACACTGGTCAAGTGCGGGTTGGTTGATTTCCCACAAACCTTTGAATTTCTTCTCAGATATGAGCAGGTTGCATCACGATGTTTTCCTTCACCGAAAACGTCGGATAAATGTACATATGTAAATTGGAAATCGAAAAACACATTGGTACATGGCGGGATTCGAACCCAGGACCTGCAGATTGCAAGTCAAAGGCTTGACTCCTGAGCCACCGACGCTCTCTTAATAAGTCATTGAACAATATTCAATGTACAACATTCTGCCACTGTATAACGATTGTCAGATTATAAACTGACGAACTTTACACTGTGACTTATAAAATGTTCTCTGAACTGTTTACAGAAGTTTATTAAGTAAATATAAAATTATTCCTCTTATAAATGTAAACTAATTTAATATACCGAATATTAACTTCGCCTGTGTAAATAGAAATGTCTTTGATTACATTTTATTTAAATCAAGGTCTGCGTTTAATCTAATATTTAACATAAGTATCTTCTCGACAGTCGTTCGTGTTTTTAATAAAAATTCACATCACATTTTTTATCCTCGTTTCCAAGTCGTTGACACATTATTAAACGTTTAATTGAATCAATTTAAACGCTTTTTTTAATAAATTTAACTGCCAAATATGTAAACAGATTTAAATATAAATAAAACTATTGTTTGGTACAAAAACTGAAAATGAGCCAGTGTATTGACTCAACAATAGTGTTACTAAAATGTCGACGTTTATGTCCACTCACTATTCATTCTGACACTGGAGTTTGTAACGAGAGCACGTCATTCGCGCCAAATGATTCTAACTAATAAAGTCTAAAACTGTATAGATATGTATACTGATAATTTTGTCCGAGTTTAGTAAAGATTTTTTTTAAATTAAATTTAACACAAAATGTATTGTGCTCTATCTTGTGATAGTATTTGTAAGTAAATGTCAGACTATTATTATACATATTTGTCTCCATTAATTTCCGCTGTTATAAAAATCTATAAAAACAAAGAACAAAATATGATTTCGTATATTTACATCGGGAGTGGAAAATGATATTGTTAGTTAAATTCATATCATATTTATAGACAAGTTAATAACTTAACTAACGCAAAGAAAATTTTATTGAAACACACGACAGATAACTTCGTTTTATTACTTCAACTAAATGATAATTATTCGATTTGGAATGTCATATCTATTACCTATACCCACTGACCTCTATAAATGGATGGGCTATAAGGCGTGGTATTTTGTGCCTATTTCATATTCACTATTTGGCGCTGATTGTATCGGTGGTGACTATTCGAACTAATAATAGAGATAGAATTATTGACTGTTACATCATTTAAGTCAGAACAAAGAAAAATCTGTGATTCACAATCAGTAACCTATCTATTTATAGAGATCAGTGCTTATGTTACATTTATATTTGTCATTACGATGTGACTATCACGAGATCATATGGATAGCGATGTTAATGACGGTCGTTAAAATAATGAATGAATACTTCGCCATGCTTCGAGCCGAGGAGCTTGTCTCTGTGAAAGAATTTTTTTTTTTTAATTTCATAAAAAGAGAGTATTAATTAAAACATTATTACGGACTAAATAAATATTCGATCTTGAACAATTTTAGGATTATCTTAGATACTATTAATTTTATTAATCTATTTGGTTGTTTATCCGATCGAAATATGAGCTATAGAAAAAATTGAACTATTTTTTGGACTTCGATTCTTGTAATTTATTTGAAATGGTTTTCCGATCTCCAGGATAGAGTATTGAAGTCGTCTCTCAGTCTAAATCATCTTACGATAAAACAATTTACTTAAAACAAATAACAATGATAATTTTTTTTTATAATTGAATAATAAAAAATAAAGTATATAATAGTGTTAAGCAAAATCACTCACAAACTAATTAACGAGATGTAATGTAATTGCGTTAATTATATTATGCAATTACGTATTAAAGCGGTCGCAGATATCCTCCAATTGTATCTTCATTAAGCCTTTAATGATTCATATTTTAATAATTAATTTAATTACAATTCTCAATGATATCTTTTAAAACATAATTATTTTTTGCAACATAACTTAAATTTATAACATATTTTACACAATGCATCATCAAGCTGCCCTAAACCTACGGAGGGTTGGCACAGTGTACTCTTCTCATACATCTCTATCGGCCGTCATATTTGAATTTATCCTCTTCTTACACATATCTTCTTTCACACAATTCATCCATACTTTCTTTGGTCTTCCTCTACCTTTGTAGCCATCCACATTAATCTCTTTGTTTTTGTTTATGTGATCAAGTGGTTATTAGCATAACATGTTTAATCCACGTTAGCCTGCTGCTCCTCAAAATCTATCCCTGGCACTACTTTCAAAAATACTTTAAAATATTTTAAACAATACAAAGTAATTTATTTCTACAAACTTTGTATCTTCGTATTTTACTTAAATGGTACTATTTATTCCCACACTCCCCTCATTGTGTGCTGAACTCCCCTACTCTCTCAACCACTTATAACTAAGATTGCAATATAATTATTACAGTATAGAGAAAATCATCTAAAACTAACGTGTTATTTCTAAATAATAAACGTATTTTTACCAATTTTTTTTCTATGTAAAATACATATTATTAATCATCGTCATCAGTCTGCCCTTCCTACGGAGAGTCGGCACATTATATACACATCACTTTACCATATTTCCCGACTAAGCTGCTCGGAGCCAGCTAAGTCAGGGGTGACTGGGCCATAATCAACCACATTGGCTCAGTGCGGATTCGTTGACTTCGCACACATCTTTACATTACTAAGTAGGATCATCGGAGTAGGAACATCGGAAAAATGTACATATGAAAATCGACAATCACATAGGTACTTGCGGGATTTCAATCCAGGCCCTGGAGATTACTCTACATGTCATATCAAAATTCAATTCGGAATCGGAGCTTTTAATATTATGTTACGAAACACTAGAACCTTAAGCGATACAAAATTGTGGCTAGCGTAACTATCAAGGTCGCCTTCACCTTATCTGTGTTAAGGTTAATATAAAACATTACATAAATATATAATTTGTCGATTATCTAAAACCAATCTTGCATTATAATTAGTAATATTTAATAATACTAGTTGTCGTCTGCGACTTTGTTTGCGCGGAAATAAAAAAAATTATTAGTTGTCTAGGTGATCTTCCGGGCCATCTATGCCAAATTTAAAAGAGATATATGTAGCCGTTTTGGAGATATCTTCTAACTAATAACCATCCATCTAAACATACATACATCCATCCATACATTCGTATTTATGATATAAATAAGTCACAATTATTATAAGCAGTTTCATCAGCGAAAAATCAGCTCCTTTTTTTGTTAGATGTTTGATTTTGTGTTTACCACTGACCTATTTCATTCTACTTTTCAAGTTTTGGGTACGAAGAATACGACAATCTTGTGAAAAATATTGTTAAAAGAATTTCATATTTATTTGTGTCAATATGCCACCGTTTTTGGTCGAATGAAAGTGATGAAGGTTAAGGAAAGGTGCTACACGACATTCGTCCAATTTTTCTCAGATTATTCCTCATTTGAGTGTTGACAGGTAACCAAAATAAGAAAATGCGAACTATTATATATGTTTTGAGCATATCGTACAAAAAAAAATCAATTATATCGAGAAAACGAATCATAGTCCAAAGAATAAAGATTCTTATTTTTGAATTTGTCCGGGAGATTATACTTTCAAATCTAAAATAAAAAATAAGTTTACCTATGACAACACTTCGTTCTCTTTTGTGGGTACCGATTGAAGCAATACAGGTGATCCTCATATTAGGTATTGCGGGAGCCTTTAGACCTAATGTGGAGATCAGTAGACCTTGAGATACAGGCTTAGCGCCGTACGCTATCAGCAAACCTCGTTCTATCACCTGGAAAAATAACAAAGTTTGAATATTTCTCAGAGAATATTGCCTGATGAACGGTTTAATATTTTTTTTTCTGGGCAACAATGAGACTGCAAATTATATATTAGTCACCCGCGAGTCCATTCGCGCGGAATAAAAAAAACTTAATCAGTAGCCTATGTGTTCTTCTAGGCTATGTTTAACATCTATGACAAATTTCAGTGAGATGCAACCATTCATTGACCCATCCATTAACCTAAACTTTCACATTTATAATATTAGTAAGATTGCGTGTTAGATTTTCCACACAATAGTATTTTCTTTATCCACCAATAACTTTAACTTTCATATGCATATTCGAATATTCATTCATTGATGAAACAAAACGGCAGAACTTTTTGAAATTTACGTTTTGAATTGTATCATATTTTTATTTTAATAAAGAGAAAAAGTAGTCCAATAAGAGATTTTTGAAACTGCACTTTGCCTCTATAATATTCGTTTTAATTTAAATTTATACTTCGCGTTATCCAGCTTGGTTGCGAACTTAATTTCAAGTAATTTATGCTTATGTTTTCGAGTGCCTTTTAAAAGTATTATGATTTCTTTTATTTATGATGGTTATTAAACCTTTCATGGAAGTGTTGTTTTAAAAGCGTTTACAATTTCACGGTGTATAAAAGAAATGATATAAAAAATTGATTCAAATTCAAAAAAGGGTCTTGACAGACAGAAAGACGGACAAAAAGTGATCCTATAAGGGTTCCGTTTTTTTCCTATGAGGTATGGAACCCTAAAAACGTATCATTGACCAGTTTTTCGTATAGATGTGATCGGAGTAAGTTTTTTTTGGTACAAATAAATCTAAGATAAGTCCCTGAATATAAACGCAGTAAATAAATATTTAAGTTAACCTACCGTACCCTGTATTTAAATATTAATTCCTTTTTATATTCACCTCTATGTACAGATGTGTAATTTATCGTATTCCTTACATTACGGAAGTAATCCCACTGATCCACAAAGTAAGTGCTATCAAAGGGTTATGTGACATAACGTCTATTTTTAGCCTACTTCAAAAAGAAGGAAGGTTATCAATTCGTCTGTATGTTTTTTTTGATGTGTGTTACCGTGTTACTTCGCCCCTGGTGCTCCGATTTTGATTTTTTTTTGATCGTAAGATTTTTTTTTAGTGATACAGATAATCATTGCTTTCTAAAGCCAAAATCTGTACATAAAATATATCGTCATCCCTACAATTATCGTTGACAAAACAAAGACAATAAGATGTTTTAAAAGGATTTTGGTCATCAACACCCATCGATGGTGAAGCTAAGATTAAGCATTAGTTGATTTATTTTTTATTTTTGTATATTTTAACCATTCTAAATAAATTCCTTAGCCGTATACTAAAACATGGTTCACGAAAATGGTTGAGTATCGGACCCACAACCGCTAAATCGGTAGTCTAAATGTTAGCTTTTTTGAATGCAGAATGAATCTGAGTGTCATGCAATATTATACCTTCTCTCCATTTATGTACCACTGCAGTTCTGGCGCTGGAAAAGCTTTGGCCGAGGAGCAATTGACATCTAAAGGTTCGTCGACTGCGTACAGCTGTTCGTGGCCGCTTATGCGTGGGTTATCACGAGAGAAATCTGTGAAATTATAAATATAGTGAATTACTCTCGAACAAGTTAATAATAGGTATAGGTAAAGAAAGATATCGACGAATTATAAACAAATAATTATTTTTCTACAACTTAATTTTCTATCTCATAAAACCTCTTTTTCACTAATCTCACTGTCGCGACTGCTATTTCTATGAGTATTGTATTAATTTCTATTGCCATGGCTGCGACTGTCAAAGAAACAACGGTCGCCTTGGTGGAAAAGGGGTCATATTGTAGCTCAAAACATGTTAGATTGTGTATTTTTTTTCATATAACTATTTACTTATTAAGGATAAAATAATTAATTGCAAATGTGTAAAGAAGTATATTTAAACAGTGCAATTAGCGAATGTTTCTTTCGATGAAAAGAAAGTAATTTAGTACCCATATAAATAAGACAATGTTTAAAAAAGGTGTGGAGATATCCATCAAGGTAATTGCTCTCTTGTTCATTAGTAATGAATCATTCTGTTTCCATTATACTGGAGAAGTTCCATTAAATATTTAATTATCATTAATTAAATAATGGTTATTCTTTTTAAAATATGAAAAAATGAATGTTGTGAGCACGAATTCAAATTTAAAAAATAATAACAGAGACAAGAGTTTTGTTACAAATAGTCATTATTCAAGATTTTGAACATATTGTGCTCGATGTTTCCTTCCAATCTTTATATCTAACAATTGTTTATATTTTTAAAAGATTTATTGAATTTTCAATACTAAATAAGTCCCCACTAATGGGCTTAGAGCCTACCCTAAGTTAGGTGTGACATAGTCAACGCTGACCCAGTACGTTTTGGCTGACTTCACATTTATCTTTGAATTTTTTCGCAGACATATATATGTAGGTTGCTTCAGAATAATATCCTTCACCGTAAAAACGTCGGGTAATTGTACATATATAAATCGAAAAACACATTGGTACATAGTAGGATTCCTGCACAGGACCAGATTACAAGTCAAGTGATTATATAAAAGGTATGTTTCGATGTTTTGGTACGATTTGTAGTGAAGGTATAATGTAGCTAAACATTTGGTTTATTTATTCCTTCAACCGTGTTTTACGACATCACAGGACGGGAATGGCTGATTGCTTTTGTTACCGCAAACATCGTGTACTTAATAATTCATCTCAAGTACAACTTATGGGCACCACACTAGTTCATGTCACAGAAATATTAAAATATTAGGAACGCGTCGCAGCTGCGTTAGAGAGAATAGAAAAAAGCATCTACTCTAAGTCAGGTCCTAGTCTTGCTCGTAGATGACCTTTTTATAGTAAAAAGTTCAGTGTAAGAGTTTTCGAGTTTAAGAGTTTTTGGAGCAAACAATGCAATATTTTGACGTCATTTTTAAAGTATAATTATATTGAAGGGTAGAACAATCACCAAAGCTTTTTAAGAAGAGCGGAACAATAAATTTCAATCAATTGATGGACCAGGCTAAACCAAATATTTAAAATGTAACAGATCTCTACAAAGTCATCGGATAATTAATTTAATAAGAAATTTTCAAATAGGTTCGGTAATGTTGCATTTTAAAAATTTTAATTATTTTACTCAATCGAAATTGCGAGAGTTTGCTAATTTATTTTATCAAATCTGTAAGCTGTGGAAGAATTCATATTGACCCTTCAATATCCCAACACCTGCGTACTCTTAAAAGATCCAATAGGCTTAAAGCTTATTAAATAAAATATTCATAAGCACAGTTGTATTTTATTATTAAAAATATAAAAAAAAAATCATTGTTACTAGTATTATAAATGCAAATGTTTAGATGGATAGATGGATGTTTGTTAGAAGGTATCTGCAGAATAACTCAACAGATCTAGATGAAATTTGGAATAGACGTAGAGCATAGTCTGGAAGAACGTACAGGCTACTTATTAAGTTTTTTTTTATCTACGCGGACGGAGTTATGGTTGACAGCTAGTGAATTCATATAACCATTGAATTTGAAAGTGAATTTCTTCTTTTATGAAAGAAAAATACTTAGATAAACTTAAAGTTGAAAAGTTGAACTTTATATCAATTAAAAATCAGAGTTGATCGTCGCAAAAAGTTTTCTTTCCAACGTTTGAAAGTACCGAGAACTCGATTATAAAGTGAAGCCACTAAAGGTCACTTGAGAGTTTTTTTTAAAGTGACTTTCAAACTTGCGGTTCGAGTCCCGAGAGTTTAACTTAAAGCCTTGTCAAATAGCAACTATGCGTATGTAACGTAAAGTATTTTTGTAACATTTATTTAAATAGAAATGATTCAATTGAATAAAAAAACAATAAAAAACAAAACAAAAAGTAATAAATAATTACTTTTAATTTTCTTTTGTAAGAAAACCAAGAAACAAAATATATTTTCCCGCACGAAAAGGTTGCCGAAAGAAGCGCCCAAACTTGTAGTTCAGAAGAAATACTGCCTGCTACAAACAAACTTATAAGTAACACACTTGAAATAAAGGTCCAATACCTTTAATCTATTACTTCTATTGTTTGATTAGATTTTATCTTTCGAAAAAAAAAAATACTAGAATATGAATTAAGAAAGATAAACGCAAAGAGTTTAAAATATAAATGTAGAGTGGACATTTAAAACAAAATAATAAACAAATATTTTAATCATATTCGTCAACAGCACAAAGTTCAGTAATGAGTAAACAAATTCTATTTCATATGCAGGAGTATGAAAGTACACTTTGTTACCTAGTGGTAAGTAGATTACGGTTGGGTATATGCTGTCCTGTCTATTGGTGCATATGTTAATGATGTCCTGTCTATTGGTACATATGTCTATGGGTAAATAGAGGTTAGACGGTCGAGTGATAAAATGTTGTTTACCATTATAGTCGGCCAGTTACACAAAACTCTTACAAATAACGATTAAAAAAATCTAAAAAACAATGGAAAGTTTTTATTCCGCAATCAACAAGGTAAATAAAGCAATTTTAAAGTAAAAGGTCAAAGATAATTTGTTATCTGAGCAGTAGTAATTACCCCGGCGAGCCGTACAAATGCCCCAATTAGGGCATGACCTAACACCCAGTGCGATTTAACAAAGATAGTCGAGGTCTCAAGGTGCCAGCGAAAGCAAACAACTATATGTATATTGGTAAAAACGTTAATCTACCAACTTTAAGCAACATTTTATGCATTCAAAAAATGTTCTCATGTAAACTTAGGATTCCACTGCAGATTCACTTGTACTAATATATACATATATATACGAATATATAGAGTACATGTAGTAATACAATCACAGTACTGAGATTTTACGGTCATAAACTTGAAAATGTGTAGAAAATTCAGATTTAGTTCAATTCATTCATTCGATTCAGTACAAAATGGTAGTTAACAGGTAAAAGTGAGCTTCAGAAGAGCTTCCTAAGATTCGTACCTTGTCACAACTTGTAAAATACTATTTGTACCAGGGATATTAGGAGGGTTTAGTAACAGGTGCTTCGTCTGTGGAAACTCACACCGATATAATACATCAAAGAGTAAGAAATAGGTTTTTATTTAAGATCATGATAATAATGAAGGATATATGTAAAATACGATTTTTTATTGTTACGATCTCTTTTGAAATATTAACCTATAGATGTATATATAGTCGGGGAAAGAAAATATATGCTTCAAGAAGTTAATTAACAGGAAATAAAGAGCAGAAAAATTCACTTCAATATCGACGAAGGATTTGATGTTAACGCAAACATTCTCTGTAGCTCTTTATTTCTTCTCTTAATTTAAAATAGAATATCTTTTAACTTACTAACTCAATATTAGAATTGGTTATAGACGTAATGTGTAGAATCTAAATTGTATATTTGCTAGAAAAATTAATATATTATTCCTTATATCAGGATTTAAGGGGAAAAGAGAGTAGACAGAAAGTTAATTGTGAAACCACTATCTTCAAATATTATTTGAATGTTATTGCATTTTAATGACCCACCCCGGTTTTAATCTATGCTATCAGTTTTTTTTGCCAAAAATGTCAATGGACTTGAAAGTAACGATTTCAATCAATAGTGCTAATGTAGCAAATAGTGACTTATTCACATAATAGTCATATTATTTGTGTAGTATAGTAGTACCTATATTCAGTTTTTGAATACCCATAAAATGACCCAAATTCACTTAAAAGGATTTCTTAAATAGGATTACATCTGCATATAATAATAGAAGCATTTTATAAATTAAAGCGTCAAGAGTTAAAAGAAAAATGTCGTATTCTAAAATTAATTTTTTTTTTATAATTTACATAAGAAAAGTTTCATTTTAATAAAATATAACAATAAGCATCATTGAAATTTAATAACGCTACTGGTTGAAATTCAACTCCGACCCAATTTGTTCTTGGGCGACATTTATCCCTTTAATTGAGTTTGAGTTTCCGGACTTTTGTACATTCCTGTTTAAACGTGTGTTGAACTGCTTTACTTTTTATGTTAATTAACATGGGGTAGACGTACATTGCGAAGAAATGGATACAAAAGTGAACAACAAATGTATTTTCTTTTTCCTTCTTCATTGTGTTGGTTAGAATAAAAAATACCTCGAGATATACCTATATCTCGGATAAGCAAAAAATGTTCGAGATAGAATAATAATTTCAGTCGCTACTTATTATCTTACAAGGTAAAGTTTTATGGAATATAATAATAATAAAAGACTTAAAATAAATTAGAATAATTAAAGGCTCATGAAAATTATCATCGCCCAGGCAAGTAGCACAAATAAGTTCCTTGCCAAGATTTCTTATTTCAATATCTCGGGAAGCATTTTTATACGACAAAGTTACTTACGCCTATGACTCACAGGGTTAGGCAGAGATCAAGGACCTCTCTCACTCGCTACTTCTTCATTCATACATCTACAGATGGACTCGTCAATCTGGATGGTACCTATAAATTCGTCTGGAATGACCCTTACTAACGCTGTCACTCACTTTCGCGCTATAATTTCCTTAATTAATCTCTTTTCAATTATCAATTTTGTACTCTCAGGTTAATACCCTACATATATTAAATAATAAAAACATATTTAAATATGTATGTGAAATAATCTAATTTAGATAGTGAATTTATTTAATAAACTGGCCTAAAGACGTTTAAAGCAAATTTCTTAAAAATAAAAATATTTTACTACGAAACTTTGTACACTTTAGTACCATCAGTACCACTCAAATCCAAACAAGAAAAAATCCTTTGCACGCAAGTACACAAAAGCGTCGTAGAACAGTGAATACTCACAGTATACTTCCATGAAGGCTTCTGATTGTGCGGAGTGGAACGACGGCGCCTCTTCAGACACCTCGCAGCGGTAGAGGCCGCGCGACTTTAGCGTCAAGTCCCTGAGGTGCACGCGTCTCGCGCTAGACCTTTCCACCTGAGTGCACACGTAATTAGGTTAATTGATGTAATTACCTTCGAATAGCCTTATTGTATGTCAAAGCACGGCGTACAATGCTGGCCACTAGTGTTTAGTGGCTAATAAGGTTGACGATTTTACTTACAAATTTTTTATGAACATTATTTGAATTTGAAATTCGAATAAACATACTACTTTATAACCTGTCTTATGAGTCTAGCACGAATATTTGTGACGAACGCCTTCTTATAGTCATCGTAAATCAAAATAAGTATGAACATTTTGTTGCACTTTACGCTTTGCACTGTACTAAATACTAGATGACGATACGAAAATGCTTGTGGCAAATATTCGTGCTTGGCCCACTGATAATAGATAAAATAGCGAGGTGACAGTTGCCCATAATTATGTACGCTGATAGGTAGAAAGGTGGCTAGGTTGTTCTAAGATCGTGAACTGTGTAGTGGTCTATCCTGCTTCGTACAACGCTTAGTTATGTTCATTATCGAGTAATCTTTACTTATAATTTTAACCAAATACAATCCTCTTTTTGTATAGTATAAATTTTACGCGATCGTTTCCTCAATACGTGAACGACCTCCCTTTTAGTCGTGTCGGCCATTCGTTTCATTGCATATAAAATGTCAATGGCGACTTTTTGTGTTTGTTTCTTCTCTTTATTGCAGTGGAAATATATTTCTTGGTAACCAGCAGTAGGGATACAATGTCGTTAAATATTCAGTGTCCATTTAAAGCTCTGGAGACGTTATCCAAAATACGTTACGTTTTTTTTAAATAAAATTATACTTACTTTGAAACTGCTACTAAATTTACCAAAACTAAGGGGAAGATTAGATTATCTAATACTATTCGTCTCTTTTGCAGTAGCATTATTGATCCCCACTAAACATAATCAATCAATTACGTAAGTTCCTTTGTTAAGATTAATTGGCCAAAAGTTTTAACTTTATTTTTATATCAAGCCAGAGAAAATATTAATTAATAGCAATTATAATTTGTTACAATAACCTTAAATATTATAAAAAAAATTAAAAATAGCACATACAATTAACGCCTGTAACCCAGAGGGGTAGGCAGAAACCACGAACCATTTGGCATGGCTAAATGAATCTCCGCAATCCACTTTTAGTCATTTCAGGAGACTGAAAGTGTCGGCTGGCGAGCCGGGTCGCCATCTTTTTCTTTTAGGAGCTCACACGTATCATTGGTATTTCAAATTTAAAAGAAGCAATCGAAGTAAAATATGTATCAAGTTTGCTTAATTTATAAAACGCATGTTTGGTTTTGTGAGCAAACATTTTTAACGTACTTAATTAGTCCTTACGCAAATTTGTTCGCTTCTGTATAAATTGCCGCACAAATGTGTCACGGGATACGAATTTTCATTAACATAGGATATCATAGGATTTAAATATCCCGAGGGTTTTAAGCGATTAAAAGGTATTTTTTATGCTAAAATATCATATACGAAACGGAAGAGATTTTCTGGTACGTGAGTTTTAGATGTCATGATGACGTGTTTTTAAATGATAAATGTTAAAAGCTCTGTGAAATGAAAAATATACAAGTATTCTAAAATAACGCTCTCAAAAGCTCTTTTACTATGTTGTATTGTAACATATTTAACTTCTGCTAAAGAATCTTTTGCTTTCAAAATGTTTTATAACCTATTTTATGTTTGTTAGAACTTTTATAAACAGAAACAAAAAAGATTATGTTTCATACATGTAATATGAACATGAATATTCCGGGAACATTTGATGAAAAACAACGACATAACTCACACCCTTAACCCAGAGGGATAGGCAGAGACCACGGACTTCTTCTACATAAAAGAATCGACTATTAAAAGAAAATATTAAAATTATTTTACTGGTTAAGTGCATATGCAGAAAATATTTTTAGCAGTCTGATATTTTATGATGTGTGTTCTGTCTTAATTAAGTGCTGTATTTACATTTGCATTTACAACGCTGTCTAAATAACTAAAAACTAAATTCTATTTCTTCATGTAAAAGTTTCAGCGTTTGTTTGTAACGTTTTGTTTGTTTTTGAGTTATTGAAACTTAGTATTTTTACATAAAAATTCAATACTGAACACGAAACGAATTTGTTTTCTACGAATAGGTTACAAACGATAGAAATGGTATGGACCATTGTGATGAGTCTATTTAATCTACTCACAGATAACGTACATAAATACTATATTGGATCGGCTTCGAGTATCGAATTACTTTCAAAACGACAATGTCTTTATCATGATTTTTCTATATACTTAATATTATATATTATGTAGCCATTAATCTCTATTATTGTCTCTGTTAGTGTCATGTTCTACTAATTTTTCGGCTACGGAAACCCTAGTAAATAAGATGAATTGGTTAATATATACTTACATCGACTTTAACTCCGTCTAGTCTGTGCGCGTGTTGCGGTGGCCTAAGCCGCGGCATATAACGATAGAATTCCTCATTATCTCTATACCACTTGACGGAGTACAGTCGTCCGCCTTCCAAGTCGTAGTCACAAGTCATCGTGACAGATTCCCCTCGCTGCTTCAGACCTGGCACTGATAAACCCACGACCCGCAAGCAAATTGAAACTGCAATAGAAAACTTTCTTGAGTATGCTTATACGGGTTAATGAGATTCCTGAGAAGTTTATCATTGTAATAAAGTAAATATGGTGAAAGTATATAAACAAGAAACGGGAATGGTAAATAAAGTGGTCGAAGAAAAAAATTCTGTATTCCGTTAGTGGATAAATTTTTTTTATTTACTTTTCATTCGTATTAAGTGCAAAAGTTTGATTTATATTTAAGTATATTCAAACTTTTGCACTTAATATTAATTAACGAGACAAAGCTTTATTAAATCACTCGGAATTAATTTCTTATCAAAGCGCTATAAAAAGAATATTTCACATGATTCTATAGAATTAAGCATTTCTCTCTCTATTTTTATTCAGTACGGACCTGCGATGCGAATACGATGTGTAATAATAAAGTAATTGTAGTAAAAAAATGCCAGTTTGAATATGTCGTGGTCCAACTACACTAAACGTTAAAAGAAATGCACAAAAAATATAATTAAAACTTTCATGTGTCCACTCAAACCTTATTAAATGTTTATAAAGACATAATATATTTTATGTAACAAAATTTTATTCAACAAAACTTTATGATAGAATAAAGTTGAAGAGTATCCTACAAAAGTATCGTAAATTTGGAAATTAAATGCATTGCGAATTATATATTATTGAGACTCATATACAGAAATTAGAAAAATGAAAAACAAAAAACTAATTAACTTTTTGCTCTTAAAAGAATTTTAATGAAACTCAACCATCGTTTTTAAAGACGACTAACTTTATGTTTTGTGGGTGTTTCAATAACATGTACAGATTTGTCATTTAAATATGCAATTTGTTTTATTATAAAGAAATAATATGTAAAAGGCCTGAAAAAGGCATAAATGTGCAAATAAAAAAATCAAAAAGATCTTGATCGTTTTTAGAAATTTTATAAGGTATTGCATACTATAGGTGCACTGCAACCAAAATTTTGGGATCGATGACCTTTTGAGGACGATAGGAACTCGCTGGATGCGGTTGGCGGATAACGGTATAATGTAAAAGATATGGAGAAGTTCTATAGGCATAGACTGATTATAGTTTGATACTGAAGTTACAATGTAAGTTACTATACTTCTCCGAATCACAATCGATTTACAAGAAATTATATATGCATATTTAGTAGGTATGATAATCGGCTACTATTTGTTTAATGCCGCGCGGACAGATTCGCGGGCGACAGCTAGTATCATAAAAAAGTAAAAAACTTAATAAATTCCACAAGCGTGAACTTCTTTGTTAAACTAATTTAAAACACACATTTCATAAATCGAAAGGTTATTTTTTTTAATAATAATTATTGTGTACTTGGATGCGTATAATTTATTCGTGTTAATTACTGTGGCATAACAGATACCAATGATTTATACAGATGAGAAATAGGACAACCCTTGCCCATTATAAATTATTCACGACTTTGGCTGCATTGTGATTACTTCATAGTATACAAATTTTTAACTGTAATATATATGTTTTTTTTATTATATATCATAAGGCGGCAAACTAGCCAGCGGCCACCTGAAATCGGTGAAATAGCGAAGTGACTGTTGCCCATAGACATAGGAAATTGCATATGCGTTGCCTACCTTTAATCGACGGAGAAGAGGATGCACAGAAAGAAAATATCTTCCCTTTCCATGCAACCTCTCATCCGGAAAGTCAACTTCACTTCCCATCCTTTCCTTATAAGAAAAAGTTAGGGAAAAGAAAGAGGACTAAATTAGGCCTCCGAGACGCACACTCATCACACGAAACGCAGAATTGTTTCCACTTCACGCCTCTCTTCTGTATGGTCGTGGTATTTCACCGGGCGAGCCGGGACAATTCGTGCGAAGATGTTAAAGCGGGCTCTACCACTGTTAGATTTTACAATTGATTTAAATGAGTTAAGATATTTTCTTTTATTTTCTTTGTAATGTGCTTATGTGCTTTGACTAAGTTGGTATATAAATATAAACATTGTCGTCTGCATTATACGCATCTTATAATAAAATACTATGGTGACAGAAAATAATTGGTGGGAATAAAAAGTTAATTTGGTTTATCGTTGATTTACAAAGTGGAATAATAAAAAATTACCGAAAACATGCTGTATTGTTATATCGCGGGTTCATAAATGTATTTAAAACTTACCTTTGGCTAATGTGAGAATAACAAAACTGACTAATACAACAATTTTCATTTTTGATTTAATTTATTAAAATATTATTAAAATATCAAAAAGAATTATACACATTCCTTAGAATAAATTTATATTACGTAAATTGCACTATAATATTATATTATTTGTTTTTAAATGTTTTAATGAATATATTTAAATTGTTTATTCAAATGCACCACCACTACATTGTCGAAAATTCCGCCGAAAACAACTTTGGCAGACAAGACCGCTACGTACGAGCGTAGCGCGCGGCGCGTCCCATACAACTGTTGCTACGGCGTGATAATGCTACGAACCGTAGCCGCTACGCTCTTCGATTTCTTTTGTATCTAGATTTTTCTCATTAGACTTTGAACGACTATTAAATTACTGCTCTCTAAAGAGGAAGGTATCTTTACTTGAGATGCTAAAAAATGTTATATACGGTCAGTAATATAGAAAATTATTAATTTTATTCGTTGGGTTTCAGTTTTTTTTAATTATTTGAATGATATTAATAATCAAATATTTAAATTTTAAAAGAGTAATCATTAAAATATAGTCAATTTAACTGAGTATTGGAAATGCTAAATGGATCACAATTTTTCTTATTTAGTTTAGCTTCTACCAAGAAATACTTATATAACACTTATATTTCATTTTAATGGTAATTTGCTTGAAAATATTATATATTTATTTTTTAAATATATAAACGGAATTTCTTCTCTACTTCCTCTATTTGAAGTATACAATCAAGAGAGTTTTTGTTTTAAATAAAATTAAATTCCATCTATTCAATGCGTAAGCTTTTAGATAAAGAGCGTTAATGTAAAAACATTTGCAGCATTAGTCGGATTCATTTGGGGTCGCATTAGTATCGCTGCTGTATCAAAGCACTGACCACGGATTAGTGACGGATTTATTAAATAGGTAATTCGCTAATGGGATACGGGTCTCCTTTACCAATTGTTCCGACACGTGTTATTTATTTTAGAGTATATTTATATTGTGTTTATATTAATTATAACTGTTGCCTGCGACTCCGTCCGCGTGGATATATAAAAAACTTAGTATATAGATAAGTTAAATAAAAAGCAGCTCTTCAAGGCATAAATTCGAAAAAAAAATAGTATCCTATGTCCGTCTTCTGACTCTAAGCTACCTCCTCACCAATTTTCAACCATATCGGTATAAAATATATAGCAAAAAAGGAAAAAAATTACAAAGTTCCAAAATATAATTGTGATTTTAACAAAATTAATTTATTGCGATTGATTAACCCATTAGTGCATAACGTTCGATAAATCGGACGCCAATAAAATTTTTATTTTAGGAGTTATATATATTTTACTAACCGATTATTTTTTTTAAACAGTAGTGTAATATATATTTGAAGTGGTAATACTGTTGGTATGACATTCCGGGAAGCATAACGTCCGATTTATCGGACGGGCTATAAAATCTAAACTTTCATATTGATTAAATATTTTATACAATTAAATGGTCAAATACACTCGAAATGAAAATATATTACAGTGATTATAATGAAAAAGACGTTAATAAACTTTATGCACTAATGGGTTAATGTATAACAAGAATAAATTAAATTATTTCACATATATAGTTATTGACTATCTTTTTGTGTCGACAGCTATGAGCATGAACACAGAGCTTTCTTTTGAATTTATTGGCAGCGGGAGTTTTCTTTGAACTCCGCGGTAACGACTCTTAAGAATATCTTTTTTGCATAATTTGTGTCGATTTTATCAGTAGTAAAGGGAAATATTTCTCACAAAATTAAACAAACCGTATCTATAACCTTTTAAGATAAATAATTAATTACTAGGTCACAAAAAATATAAAATATTGTCATGGATAAATTAAAGCTTGATTCTGAGTTTATTCTGAAAATGAATCTGAATGCGGTAATAATTTGGATTGCAAATTTCGGTTTCAACGTTGAGGCTCATTTTCATGACCGGACCGAATATAGAGATGAATTTTTTAGATTCATCGCGTAAATACCGAAAATTTATTTACATTAACGCAAACCATTTGCGTTCAGCTATTTTGTAATAAACCCTAATTTAATTTCTCATTCATTTGTCTGCGAAACAATTGAAATGTTTAATATTTCCAAATTAAATTAGTGATTAATTTTAATACAACAGAGCATTTAATGGAAATTTTTTGTAGTTTTTTTATTAAACTATTACTTTTACACCTAAAGATTTAAGTTGGATGTATAAATGTTAAGAAACCGCTACGACTTGGGGTCCTTCAAGAAGCGAGCGTATCACCATCTTAAAGGCCGGCAACGCATCTGCGGTTCCTCTGGTATTGCTAACGTCCATGGGTGTCGTTGAACACCTCGGTGTTCCCGCTGCTTGTTTGCCCCTTTCTGTTATATAAAAAAAATGTTCTTTAAAGTGAAATTGGTATTTATTTTCATCACCCGTCAATCTTGACACTTAATTTAATTTACATAAAGTACATTATAAAGCTGTCGCGTAATGTTTAATAAATTAACGGTTAAATTTAGCAAAGTATTTTATTCTTAATTTTAGGGTGATGTATTTCACGAGCATCGGATTTTTAATTATCAGTATTCTGTTACGGACAGAATAATGGTTAATTATTTTTATTATCTAGACATTAAGTATCACAATAATTTATGAACATTTCTTATATTAAATTAAATCTTCGGGATACAAAGTTAGATATTATTGTGCTATCAAATTTACTAATTTATTAATTATCTTCAACATTCGTATAGCAATATTCTGAGATTCAGAGCCGTTTTGGATTAATAA